GCTCAACATGCAAGTTGACTGGCTAAGAAAAAGCAGCACAAAGTCCTGCCAAAATCCTAGTTAATCTGATCAAGCAAAAACCAGAGAGGTCTTAAGCACTGTGCAGTTTAAACAAAGCTCATTTCAGCTGCAGAAGGAAGCCCACCTCTTCAGCAGGTAGCCCAACTGAAGAGAGAACATTTACCTGCTTTAGGCTACTACTGCCCATAAGCAAGCTGAAGGGCTGAAGAGTAAAATACCCAGATAAAGAAAAATGTGGAACTTGGATGGATTCTGCAGATGGACAAACATTGCATACAGTCCAACAGGAAGGTGGGAAAAACAACGATACGTACCGAACGTGCAGCCAGTTACCTCTTGAGTACTACTTCAATTTTCCTACTTTGCAAACAATTAATCCTCTTAACGTCCATGCAAACACATTTATTCTCCCCAGTTCCAGCTTGTGAGCCCTTCCAGCAATGAGCTGGCTCATTTTCTAAGTTAACCCATTAAAACTGGGACCAAAGCTCTGCTTTAATCACAGAACATTGACCGAGTGACGATTTCCCATCACCCCATTCCACAACACCCCACTGTCTCCCCATCACCCCACTCCCCCCAACACTTTCCAGACGAGCTGAGCAAGACGCCCACTCCAGCACACAAAAGGGCACTTTTAACCCAGCCAGGACTCAAACCCTCAGCCTTTGAGCTCTCCATCAGGCAGCAGCAGCCAACAGCAGGCCACAGAGCTGAGCCCACATCAAACAAGGGCTGGATGGGGCACTGGTCCTTGCACTGAAGCCAGCACAACACAACCCCATGACAGACCTATTTATTTTCCTGTTGGTGACTGCACTGCTTAATACTGGAAAACCTGCAGCTAACAGTAATGTTTTGCCTCACATAACACAGAAGTGCAAAGGAGTCACCTGGAGCTGTGAAATGGATGCTGGTTGCATGAAACTTCTCTCTGCAGCAGTACATAAAAAGGGGGTTTAGTATTAATTTCTCTACCCAGCCCTCAGCTAAGACAACCCACCTTCACCACAGCTGCTAGGAGAAGAGAAAGCACAAACATTTACATAAACAACGCAACCGAAGGTTTGCTCACCACCTCGTGCAGGGCTGTGCTCTCAGACGATGATCACTCATCATAAAAATGGGTGGAGCGGCTGCAAAGCACTCAGCAATGGAAAAACTGACGGCCTCACCCAGGGAAGCTCCTGCCTGGGCTGCAAATCCCGCGGAGACATGCAAAGCGCTGTCGGTGCTCCCCGTGTGGGAAGTCTTTCAGCTACGGATGCAAAAACATTTGCTACGTAGCCATGTGAACTGCAGCACTTTGCTTTCATCTCCAGGATCGATATCTGCACCGACTCGAGGAGTTCAGATCGCGCTACGGGGCACTGTTTACATCCAGGTCACCCAAAGTCATTCATCGGTGGTTTGTGTTTAACGCAAAGCACAACGCTCCTCAAGTGCCAAATGTGGAGTTTCAGATGTGCAGATTTATGGCATGGAACAAAACGAGACTCATCACACACAGCTTCAGTTGAATGGTCTAAGCCTGACTCACCAAGCGATTCCACCTGAGGAAGGAGAGCTCTGCTTTTGCTGTGATCTCACTGGGGGTCCAGCAGCTAGAAAGCATGCTGTGCTGTGCATGGCCCATCCCTTACTGTGTATAACCACCAAACAGTGCCATCCTGCATCCCTTCCCCCAAAAAGCTCACTTCCCCCTTCCTTTAACACCTGCTTCCTCCATCCTAGCATCCATTGTCCAAACACTATTATGGGATCGAAAGCTCCAGCATCCCAAAGGAAGCTCAGGAGGAAAATGACTCTATAAAACAAGCGGTTTCCATACAAGACTTTCTCATTCATTGCAGCAAACCCAAACCTTACCATTCAACATTTTCTCTTCCTTACTATAGCCCATGCTGGATGCTCACAGCCCCTTTGCTGCCAGCAGGAAGAGCTGCAAGAGCCACCATCTGCGTGATGCACAACAGGTGTGTTAGCTCCTGAAAAAAGCAGGAGTGAGTCAGTGTAAGAGTCTGAAGGCAGACCTTCGTGCCAAAGCACTTGTTTGCAATGGTTTTATTAGCTTTTGCACTCAGACTTACACAGCAGCTACACCACTGCGGGCAGAGACACATTGGGAAAGAGATTTACTTTCCCAAGTAACTTTGCCAGGAACTTCAGATACAATTCAAATGAAGCTACAGAGCCTGTCACAGGTCTTAACATAACTTACTGCTCCAATCTGCATTAGCCACGGGTGATAAAAAGCTCAGAGACACAGCTGGGATTGAAACACAGCATGTCAGGTAGGCTCTCAGCACAGGGTCCTGAGCATCGTCGTCAAATGCCACATATCCTGCTCTTCTCCAGGATATTCACTGTACATCATACACATCAAGAAGTCTCACTAGCATTCATCATCTTCATTTAAATGAATTCATCACCCATTTTACTTCCCCTCCCACCAAAATACCTGAAGTCACAGCTACAGGAGGAAACAGAATCAGTTGCAAGGGCTGTGATCAGACATCTTAAACAGCACCACCAAGAAGCAGCTATGTAGCATGCCATACTTTTAGGGGTATTTTCTTCTTAGACTTCCTCCAACCCAGTATCTGAGAGGTCTCAAACTAGTGCAGCTCTGCACTTGGGCTGTGGAAAGCACAAGGTCATTCCAGAAAGGATTTCAGCTTTTTCTCACCCACTACAAAAATCACACGAGAAATTTTCCAGCTTCTGATTTTCAGGTTTCTCCTTTAACATACGTACAAAAATCCTGTTAGAGCACATGACAACATAACACAGGTCAAGTACAGCTCCAACAGAATTAAAGTTTATTTTCAGCAAGTTATCACACTGCATTCTTTTTTAGGACTGTTGACTACTTAAAAGTATTTGCGATTACACCCCTTTGCTCAACAATGTGAGTGTACCTAAAATGGCTATTAAAAAAAAAGAATATAAATGTCAGGGTTTACTTTTGCAGAGGACATCGATCCTCACTATGCACAGAAGTCAACTGCAGACTTGAGGAATTTTAAAAGGGAACAACTTAACTCCTAACTCACTGGCTTATCTCAGTAACATCTCCCATCGTCATCATCAGCCATGCTGTAAAACAGGGACAGGCACTGCAGCCAGACACCTTCCGCACCAACAAAAAGCACCAGAGGCATTCACTGACAAGTCACCTCACTTGTGTGACAAAGGGAACGGAACAGAAATACATGGATGCACGTTTTTTAGGGAGAGCTGTACAGCCTGACTTCAGCACCAAGTTCCCAGCATAGCAGCTTACCCCGCAGTGCTGCCAACATATTTCCTTATCACTAAGCAAGGGAACTAAGCAGCCAGCTCTGAGGGATGTGCTCTGCCTCTTCATCTGCATAAAGGTCATTTGCAAGGGAGAAAGGCAGGTTTAAAAAAAAGTAAGAAAGAAAGAAAGAGGATAGCACGCCACATCCATGGCTTTGTTTTCCATACAAACAGTAAGGCTGGAAAAGACCACTAAGACCACACAGACCATCAGCCCATCATCACCACGTACACTAAGAGCGGTGCTGTCAGGTTGTGGCACCACAACTTCAGTGTCTGAACATTCAGTGAGGGCAAGGAGGGGCCTTTCACCCCCAGTTCCTAACTCCTTCACCCTCCTTCCCCACTACAGCAACACTGAACCCATGTAGGCACTTTATACTTATCTGCTGCATGGTTTAATTTACTCCAGACTATTTATTGCCCGTGTGGGGGGAACCCCTATAGAAACAGCATTAATAGCACTCATGGAGATGGCAGAGATAACCAGCTACAGCACTGCTTCTAGGATTGTTTGATAGGCAAGTGGAACACCACCGAACACCAGGCAGGAAAACTGATAGCTGCTGTCCTGGATTCAGAGTGGAAAAGAAATAGGTGCAGCAGGCACAGTGACTTACATTGCCTTTTGTTAAACAGATCTGTTTAAAGCTATGCCAGCAGAGAAGTACAAAACAGCAGCCCCTGCCCTTGTAACCAGCAGAGCACACCCCACAATAAGCCTACTGGCATTTTTTCCCCCTCTAGTATAATTTATTGCCCGCTGCCCTACCTCAGGCTTTGGATAGCATAACCAGATTCCTTCAGCTGCACTTAATCCTCCTCTTAGCACAGGGGCATACCCTGGACCAGAACACAGCTTAGTAAGGAGCAGATCCTGCTGGGAGATTAGCGGTGAGTTCTGCGTAACCCTGGGTCTCCCAGTTCCACCACACCATGATTCAAAGCCTCCACTTACCTGGCAGGACTCCGTACATTAGAAGTACTTGTGCCGTGCTCTGTTGTCTGAACACATCTCACCCTTATTGCTTGGGCCATGCCAAGCATCCCTTGGCCACCACAGCAAGCCACAGGCTGGGACACCAGGCCATGGCACGGTGTGTCCCCACAGAGCCCTGTCATCGAGCTGCCTACAGAACCTGTCTGCCCTGCAGAACCCCTCAGCCGAGCCCTGCCAGCAGCAGCCCCAGGGCAGACCAGCACTGAGAGGACAGGCAGTGCTACACTCATGCCATACATGCACAAGACGTGTACAGGTCTGAACTCATGCCAGATATCATCACCTTGCTTAACGCACCCATACTCTGCTATGAGGCCTGGGGAAAAAAAGAAAAAAAAAAAAAAGCAAGAAAGCAAGATAATGTCCTTTGGCCCCTTAAAACCAAACTGGGATTGCATGAGCCAGAACTGGCAGCACAAGAGCAGAGCTCAGAGCAACTGTCTGAGCGCTGCTCGGGAGCTCTACGTGCCTGACATAGTTCTCCCGCATCACATATCTCCATGAGCACCTCAAGGCTGATGGCTGCCCGGGACCACAGGGAGCAGCACGGCTCCCAGCTGTCTGCTGCCAGCACAGCACCCCAATCCCTTGAGCAACCACAACCAGCACAGCGTGCCCTTCCAAACTTCACAAATCACATTTCCTACGCCCAAGCTCCAAGGATAGCAAAGCTCACCGGGCAGAGCCCCTTCAGAGCTCAGCAACGTTGCTCTCACCAACCCCAGCTCCTTTCCATGACTTCCATAGCACAGACACAGGCAGCGGATTAATAGTTAATAATTAATAAACTCTGATGATTTTCAGGTTAAGAAACGTCCAAACTTTGCCAATCCTCGGCCAGGAATTCCCACATTCACTTCCAAAGCGGTATAAATTCATTTGAGAGGGACATCAGCGAGCAGCAGCGCGAAGGCACAAACCAGGCCCGGTGGCAATGACCCTTCGAACAACTTCAGAGCACCAAAACACTTCAGCCCCAAAGGTGGGAAAAACCAACAGCGAGCGTCGCTCGGGAGATCCCGGCACGAAGCTGAGTCTTCGGTAGCGATAAACTCGACTACAAATAAACGAGGAAACAAACAAATGCGACTACAAAGTTGCGTCAGCGCAGCTCGAGGGTTCCCCCCGCCCGCCCCTACATCAGCATATCAATGGTTTGAATAGAGGGGAAGCGGAGGGAGGCTGGGGGCCAGCCCGGGGCTCCAGGAACGCCGTGCATATCCGTGTGTATGGACGCACGGACGTGTGCACGGTGCCGATGTCCCGGGCCGGGCTCGCCCCATCCGTACCCCCGGAGCTCGGGGCCGCGCGGTACCGCCGCGGGGAGAACCGCAGACAATAGCGGCGGAGAGAGCAGCGCCGCGCGAGGAAATCGACCCAAACTCAGGCAAGAAAAAGCAAAGAACGAGGAAGAAATGAAAGGAAGCAGAGGGACGCGAAGTTGCGAGGAGAAAAGCTCTAATGAAGATGAGGAAGAAGGGTGGAAGCCTCGCGGAGGGGCAGGGGGTTCCTCCGCAGCCCCCTTCCGCCGGAGATACCCCGGGAAGCTCTCCCCCCCTCTTCCGCTTCAGCCGCCCCCCAAAACTTTCCCCCCACAGCGGCCCTTCGCTAAACTCCGACGGGACGAGCACTCACCGCGGGGCCCGGCGGACGGCTTCGCCCCTGGAACGGGGCCGGGAGGGAAGGGAGAGGGAAGGGGACGAGGGGAGGGGGGGGGAAGAGGCGGCTGGGCCGGGTGCTCTCCGCCCGGGGAGGCGGGCAGGAAGGAGGGCCGGGGGCTGCGGCTGCAACCTGAGCACCGCCGCCGCGCCCGCCGCCAGCCCGCATGCGCCGGACCCGGAGCCGCCGCGGAGCGGGGCCGCCCCTGAGCAGCGGGCGGAGAGCGGGGGGCCGGGGCCGGGGCCGAGCGGGGAGGCGGCAGCTGTGAGTGGGCTGCGGTTCTCGCTCAAGTTTGTGGAGCTGCTCGGTTGGTCCTCTTCTTCGGAGGCACGCTGGGAGCGAGGGGTTCGGCACCTGGGGAACACCTGGCGGCTGTGCTGCTCGGTTGGCCCGAGGCGGTGCGCTCAGCTGCTCTGCGGGATTGGTGGTAGCGTTGTGCTTCTGGGGGCGAAGGGACGCGAGCAGCTTTGGATGCAGCGGGTTGTTTTTGTTTAAAGGGGTACTTCCTCCCCACGCGCCAAACTTCAGCCTCACGGCCTGTTTTGCTCAGAGGTACATTGCTTGCATCCCCACCTCCAGCTCTTGTAAAGCTCTCCCAACACACGTTGCCCAGCCGAAATCACACTCAGCTGCACCCAAACACTGCCTCCTGTCCCTGGCACAAAACCAAGCAGCCCCAACGCCCCGTACTGCCCCTCACTGTATTTCCTCAGGGCCCGTTGCTCCTCTGCCACTGCACAGCCTGTGGAAGTTTGATCGAGGAACATCTCTGTAATTATTTCCACACCTTGCCCTGGAAAATGGTGGAAATGGCAATGCTGCTGTTAGCAAATACAGAATCATAGAATCGTTTGAGTTGGAAGAGACCCTTCAAGGCCACCTGGTCCAACTCTTCTGCACTGATCAGGGACACCTACAGCTGATCAGGTGCTCAGAGCCCTGTCCAGCCTGACCTGCAGTGTCTGCAGGGATGGGGCACTCACCTCTCTGGGCAATCTCTTCATGTGGCTGGGCTGGAGGAGTCTGCTGGAAAGAAGAGGCATGATGTGCTGCAGTGGGGGATCTGCCCTCTGTCACCATTTCTATTGGAAGCTCTTAGAGGACGTGATTTTTCCTATCAGAAATATTCCTGCAAGTGAGCTTCTCCAAAGAACCAGTTGTTAGCCATGACCTAGGTGAGGAATTACCACAGGCTGCAGGATGGGACTAAGCTCCCCAGGCTGCTCTAGGTAGGCCAGAGCTCCCCATCCCTATGTGGGAGTCTCATACATCCCCTGCCTGGGACCAATGTGGGGAAAAGCTCAGCCAGCCACTGCATCAGATGCCCGGCCGTGCTCTCATCAGTGCCCTGCCTTCACCAGGATGTGGTCAGTGCTCCACTTCCATCTTCAAATCATTAATTCTGTCTTTAAACTGTTGTCCAGACCCAAATCCTTTATCTCATATATTCTTCTTGGACCCACATAAAACCACAACCTGAGATGAAGGGGTGTTTGTGTAGCAGTGGTGTGGATGCCAGCCTTCTGGCAGATCATTTGCGGGCAAATTGCCTTTGACACTGGTTCCTCCAGCTTTCACCGTAAGTCTAAGTCTGCTTTTCAAATGCTAGCAAGAAATTGGAAAACTACAAAGATCAATTTGTCTTTCGTTCTTCTTCTTAAATTTGTCATAAACTGCTGCAGGGCTTCCTACTTCTTGCTAGGGAATGAGTTTTAAGTGTGAGCTGCACTCATGAATGAGAATGGAATTTGGATCTGCACAACATAATCTGAACATTTGTGTGTAGTGGCATGAATTAGCAATATGAGCACATTGTTTCCATTTGCTGGAAATTAGCTGTCCTTGCAACTGAATAGAAAACAGAGTTCAATGTAACGATGGAAGCAGCAGCTATTAAAGATTTGTTTTCATCATGTTTAAGCAGCTACAAACTGAGATGCACAGAGAGGGTGAGTGTGGCTGACAACAGTGTGCCGGGCTTTGTTCCAGTGCCTAGAAAATGAGGCACTGAGATAGCAGCAGCCACACCTGGAGAAGTTGACCAACATTTTACTTCTTCACACTCTGCCAATAAAGCCCCATGAGCTGCACAATCTGCTGCAAAATTATTGCCTGTGACTGAGGGCAGCCTTCTGCTGAAGTTTCCCCGTAAGAATAGATCTCGGTCAGCACACAAAATCCTCAGTAAGGCACAGCAGGCAGACTCTGGAATTTGCCCTTAGGACAGCAGATAGCCTGGAGTGACTACAGTAAAAACACCCAAAGCAAAATGCAAACATTGTTGACCTGCAGTATATTATTCATGAAATGTCTGTAATTCCCATGGCTCTCCTGTGGGAAGTGGGGCTCTGCACCTCGCTGTCCCCTGATGCAGACCTCAGCTGCTCATCACTGCCCCGTCTGCCCCTCCACCTGCTGATGGGCTGAGCTAACACCCAGCTCTTACATATGTTGCCGGAAGCCCTGATGTAAACACTGCCTTTTTTCTCCTGGTCAGAACTGTGAACCTGCCTGTGTTTGTGGCAGGAATTGACACTGCGTGTCCCAGCAAGGCTCGAGCCATGCCACAGCCCATAGGATAGGTGTGGGATGCAGCAGGAGGGCAGGGAGGAGAGGAGACCTGCAGACTGTCAACTGTTACCACTGAGCCTCGAGGAAGGTTTTTTTTTGGCACTTCAGCTTTACGCTTTGTGCTTTTTCAGAGGACACCGTTAGAGGCGCCTGCTCTGGGCACTTTGTTCTTTTCAGGATGCATTTTAATTTAATACAATTCTATTTCTGTCCCTAGCGATGGTTGTTGTCCAGTTACTTGCAAAGCGAGAGACAGACCAGTCTATGCCAAAAGCCTTTATTGAAGGATCAGAAAACATCAATCAAATCAATTTACGAAACTGAATTATGTGGGACCCCAGGAGTAAAAAATGACAAACACAGAGACTTAAATTGATAGCAGACCAGGATAAAAGCTTTTAGTCAATGCAGGCCATAAAATTAATCAAATGCAGTATACTCCCTAAAAATTAGAGCAGTTTCCCCATCCCCTGCACTCTGCTCAATTTCAGATCTAAATAACATGCAAAGTAGATTAAAATTAATCAATACAGCAGATCCCACAGTAAAGCAAGTAATCAAGAAAGCAACACATGCATTTGCAACCCATTATTTATTACCATCCCCACGTGTGGCCAGGATGTGAACGCATATGGCATCCCTGGCTTCTCTTGAACCACCACCAAAGCTGATGGGTCTATTTGCTTTTCGTACAAGCCAGTAAAAGAAACCCTCAAAGTTTAGGGCATTTGGAGACATTTGCTTGAACCTTGTAAAGATTATAAAGGCAAAAATCGTATCTATAACATGGATGTGGAATGGTATCTTCTCTGTCTAAGACCTGAGTGCTCTTTCTCTTGCTCCCAGTGCTCAGATTATCTCTCTTTATCTCTGTGGGTTGGATAAGATTTCCCAAATCACAGAGGGAGGGAGAGAGTTCTCCAGCTGTTGGGAACCAATACCATGTTGGTGGTGGCAAACATTTCCAGCTTATCTGAACATGTGAACGCATCCCACCTTTATATCCTTTCATTAAGTACTAAATCAAACTTCTCGTACTGATTTTCATGAAGTTGTGATTGTTGAATGAAAAAGAAGTACAAGAAGAGATTCCTTCCTCAGCAAGCAAATGGGGAGCAGATTTCCTTCCTCTAAGGGGGATCCCTTTCCTTGGATCTCTGTTTCATCAGAGGAACATCATCCAGAGAACCCAAATCTCTGAACATAGAATCGTAGAATCATTATGGTGGTAAAGGCCACTAAGATCACCTAGTCCAACCATCAACCCAACCCCACCTTGCCCACCAGTCATGTTTCTCAGAGCCACATCCACCCTTTTCTTAAAAAACCTCCAGGGATGGTGACTCCAGCACCTCCCTGGGCAGCCTGTTCTTATACACCACCAGGCATCATCAACTTCAGGCATATTCACAAAACCCATGAACCTGAACTGCTTAAAACACTGCCCCGTGAATCTCCATCATGAGCCACCCACCAGCTGTTTTGCCAACAGCAGTGCATTACAACACGTACCTGTGGCAGTTTGTGGTAGTTGGCTTCATGCACTAAGAACAAAGTAGACTCCCTTCAATGAAATTCCCAGTGCAGGGGAACCAGGAAATTCCCCTCCCCATAGCACGAAGCCCCTTTTGCTTGCACACCAGCTCTGTGCCTGCTGCCAGCCAGCCCAGCTCTGCAAGATGATGTACACCCACCAGATGGTCCCAGCACTTCTGCACCA